TGTCTTGCCCGACGAGAAGCAGGATCCCGCCGATGCCGGGACGGGGGTGCCGCAAGCGGTGGTGGAGGGCAGCACACCTACCGCCGCTTTGAGCGAAGCGGGGGACGCTGACGTACCGCTCCCCTTCATGGCCGACGAGTCAGAGGATGCCTCTCGGCCATTGGAGGAAGACACAGCGGGTGTAGTGGGCGACAGCGCAGCTCCCGCCGATGCTGAAGGAGCCGACTCTCCGGTACCTTTCCCTGTCGTGCCCGACGAGAAACAGGATCCCGCCGATGGCGGGACTGGGGTGCCACAAGCGGTGGTGGAGGACAGCACACCTACCGCCGCCTTGAGCGAAGCGGGGGACGCTGCAGTACCGCTCCCACCCGTGTCCGACGAGGCAGAGGATGCCTCTCGGCCATTGGAGGAAGACACCGTGGATGTAGGGGAGAACGTCGCACCTACCGCCGGTCTCGAAGCAGCGGTGTCATCCCCTACCGTGTCCGACGAGACCAGAGATGCCCACATACTCGCCGAGCGAGACACAGCGGGTGTAGTCGACGACAGCGCAGCTCCCGTCGATGCTGAAGGAGCCGACTCTCCGGCACCTTTCCCTGTCGTGCCCGACGAGAAACAGGATCCCGCCGATGCCGGGACTGGGGTGCCACAAGCGGTGGTGGAGGGCAGCACACCTACCGCCGCCGTTAGCGAAGCGGGGGACGCTGTAGTACCGCTCCCCTCCGTGTCCGACGAGGCAGAGGATGCCTCTCGGCCATTGGAGGAAGCCAAGGTGGGTGCAGTGGAGGCCAGCGTAACCCCCACCGATGCTGAAGGAGCCGTCTCTCCGGAACCTTCCCCTGTCGTGCCCGACGAGAAACAGGATCCCGCCGATGCCGGGACTGGGGTGCCACAAGCGGTGGTGGAGGACAGCACACCTACCGCCGCCGTTAGCGAAGTGGGGGATGCTGCAGTACCGCTCCCCTCCGTGTCCGACGAGGCAGACGATGCTTCTCGGCCATTGGAGCAAGACACCGTGGATGTAGGGGAGAACGTCGCACCTGCCGCCGGTCTCGAAGCAGCGGTGTCATCCCCTACCGTGTCCGACGAGACCAGAGATGCCCACATACTCGCCGAGCGAGACACAGCGGGTGTAGTCGACGACAGCGCAGCTCCCGCCGATGCTGAAGGAGCCGACTCTCAGGTACCTTTCCCTGTCGTGTCCGGTGAGAAACAGGATCCCGCCGATGCCGGGACTGGGGTGCCACAAGCGGTGGTGGAGGACAGCACACCTACCGCCGCCTTGAGCGAAGCGGGGGACGCTGCAGTACCGCTCCCACCCGTGTCCGACGAGGCAGAGGATGCCTCTCGGCCATTGGAGGAAGACACCGTGGATGTAGGGGAGAACGTCGCACCTACCGCCGGTCTCGAAGCAGCGGTGTCATCCCCTACCGTGTCCGACGAGACCAGAGATGCCCACATACTCGCCGAGCGAGACACAGCGGGTGTAGTCGACGACAGCGCAGCTCCCGTCGATGCTGAAGGAGCCGACTCTCCGGCACCTTTCCCTGTCGTGCCCGACGAGAAACAGGATCCCGCCGATGCCGGGACTGGGGTGCCACAAGCGGTGGTGGAGGGCAGCACACCTACCGCCGCCGTTAGCGAAGCGGGGGACGCTGTAGTACCGCTCCCCTCCGCGTCCGACGAGGCAGAGGATGCCTCTCGGCCAGCGGAGGAAGACACCGTGGATGTAGGGGAGAACGTCGCACCTACCGCCGGTCTCGAAGCAGCGGTGTCATCCCCTACCGTGTCCGACGAGACCAGAGATGCCCACATACTCGCCGAGCGAGACACAGCGGGTGTAGTCGACGACAGCGCAGCTCCCGTCGATGCTGAAGGAGCCGACTCTCCGGCACCATCTCTTGTCGTGCCCGACGAGAAGCAGGATCCTGCCGATGCGGGGACTGGGGTGCCACAAGCGGTGGTGGAGGGCAGCACACCCAGCGCCGCCTTGAGCGAAGCGGGGGACGCTGAAGTACCGCTCTCCTCCGTGTCCGACGTAGCAGAGGATGCCTCTCGGCCAGTGGAGGAAGACACGGTGGGTGCAGTGGAGGCAAGTGCAACTTCCGCCGATGCTGAAGGAGCCGACTCTCCGGTACCTTTCCCTGTCGTGCCTGACGAGAAACAGGATCCCGCCGATGCCGGGACTGGGGTGCCACAATCGGTGGTGGAGGGCAGCACACCTAGCGCCGCCGTTAGCGAAGCAGAGGACACCGCTGCGGTATTGCTTCCCTCCTTGGCCGACGAGGTACAGGATGCCTCTAGGACACTGGATGACTCCAAACGTCAGAGCGCCGGCAGCGGAAATGGCGAACGTTCGGTTGGGGAGAAACTTCTGGCGGGCGAGTCTACAGCTGCAAACGTTACCGAGGAGGTGGGTGATTCGGCTATCGCTTAGCCCTTGCAGATATGCACGTATACCTCGTCGCCTGTAGCTCTAACCGACAATGTCAGCGCTTCTGGACCAATGAGACAGTACGCATTCTAGTAGCATAGGGAGGAAATCGAGGACAGGAGGTCAGCAACGTTTGGTCAGAATAGAGACGACCATAGCAACGCAACTGATAGATCTAAGGTATGCATCTTGTTTGGACAGTGCTTGCCGCCGATGCTGCCAGTGGCTAAATGCACGTGACACGCGGTGTTAACGCGTCCACACAAGGGCATAGCCACTTACGTTGCTTACACTAGTGAGCTGCTCCTATGGTTTGTCAACGCAGATCACACATGATGAGCGGCAATCGAGCGAAAAGGGTAACCACGATGGAGAGTCTTCCGTGCCTGCCAAGACTCATTGAGATGCACAACAAGAGGTTGTAACTAAAGCTCCGGAGGGGTGTTGCTAGTTCTCCACTGGCTGAGGTGGACTTTGAAGAAAGGAAGCAGCTGGAGCGACGACGGATAGACTATTGCTTGCGGGAGTACGGGTCAACGAGTACGACAGACGAATGGCAAATGGTTTTGTAAGGGCAATTGAATGAAGAGACGTTGGGCGTGGCAGTCTAGATGTTCTTGGTTATCTGTTAATTTTCACGCGGTTGACGAGGAGGTCGTGTGTGCGCTTGTACCGATACCAAGCAGGATGGTCGGTGGGGCCTCGCGGGTGTACGCTAGACAAGTAAATATATCGTCAGGTTGGAGTTGACGAACAATTGTTGGGGCGTCTTGATATTTAACATCGGGCGGTTGCAGACAGGGCCAACTTGATGAGTAAATTGGTGTGAGTGGCAATGGTGGAGGAGGATGGCACACCTAAAAGTACTCCGCCGCGTTTAACAAGTACAGTACCGTGGTAAGGGTGCGTCAGGTGTTGCGCTTAAGTCGGGCACCGTGGGTGTGGTGTCTGACATGAGCAAGAAAGAATCCGAGGGACGTGGTGTATATGATACGCAACCAAGAAATCCGAGCCTGCTGTGTCACTGTGGGTAGCTGCTATACCGTGACGGTACCGCGCAAAAATGTTAGCGCCCGCTGGTGTGCGGCGAGTTGGAGGGCATGATGTGACTATCGTCGTTACGCTACACCATCATCGACAGGCTTCACTTATCCCTCCCCTTGGTCGAGATGATGACCCTACATACGACGGATAAATTATGGCACAGCACGGAGCGTCAGGGGCATTCCGCCACTCGGGTACGTGCAGTCAAGCCGACCAAGCTCTGAGATGCACTGACGTTCGCGAGCACCCGTCACAGCAAGATCGCCTATGCTCTTTCTCCTTGTCCTGCGGTCCCCTTTTCTCGCTCTTGTTGACCTAGGTGTGCTTGATTAATCGTTTGGCGTTATTTCCAACGCGTTCCTTCCAGTTTCAACCTCACTCAATTGTGCATACGTAGTGACACGTGGCCCTATCAAAATTTGACGCGAATCTCATTCGTCTGACCGCATTCACAATTTGCCTACGGTACGCCGAAAAAAGAAAATTAGCGCATCAAGACGCAGGTGAGCGTATACTACAACTAGCTGCCCCTGATTTCCTCAAAGATATCTCCTTCCAAAATGGCATCGACACGCGCGGTAATAATCCCAACTACCACCTCTAGATGGCTACATATTTTTCGTATCCTCTGTTCGTTTTCCTTTCCCAAGGGAACTGGCGGCAATGGCAGGTTCAGCTCTCGCGCGAGCCGTACACATGTCCACCAAATCGTCGATTGATTGCTGTTTTATCTAAACGCCGATCTAGAAACCCAGGAACGCCAGCGGGTTTCCATACCTGCGCAAGAGCGCACACGAGGTCGAGGGAATGGGGGGCATGTCCGCAACGTCAGAGGCGCACTTAGTCGCTACAGTAATTGCCACAAAACGTTGAACAGGCCTCTTTTATAGGCAATACTCTGCGAGCACCACAAAAAAGGAACATCCGGGAACAGGCAAATTCCGGTAGGAAACAGCGGCAGGTCAAAACCGTGTTTGTGCTTAATCGATAGTTAAATACTTTAAGTATGCTGGAGCACACCCGCAAAAAAGCTCACCGGATGATGATCGGCTGTACGAAGAAGACGCCGTAGCCCGCGAGCAAAAGACCGACCAGGCTCACGATGGTAAAAAGAAACCTGCATTGTGTACCGGAGCAAACAAGACCGCAAGTACACAATGAGGAATCGAAGCCACAACCAGGCGCGCCTTCTGTTGCAGTAGGCTGCCCATGCCCATCGCGTAGATTTCATGAAAAGGCTCCGAAAACACGTGCGAAAACTAAAATGGACAGCGCGACAGCCCACCATGCCCAGCTACCCGCCATTCCGTTGGGATCCTAACATCGTGGTCAGAGAAACGAGGATCAGAGTCCGTGTGCGAACTCAATTGCCCGTCTTGAGCCCCCCAAAGAGTGGCATAAGGTAGTGAGGACTCACAGCAATCGCCCCACTAGGAGACCCTGCTCGAACCCCTTGATGTCGAACGTGTTGTCCTTGCGCCAGTTGTCGAGCTGGTTGTCCACTTTGAATCTGGCAAGCAATCACGTGTGGGGCGCGCATGCCGACCCACCGTCGGAACGAACAGTCCTTACTATTGTCTGTTAGATAGACGGGTTTGTTTTGCCGGTGCGCACCCGATCCATTTCTCTACAGAACAACACCGGGTACATCGTTCGCGCGGCCCAAGCCCCCATCGATCCACTCGAGTACAAGTACACTATGTACCCTGGCGGCAACCAAAGCATGGCACAAGTCCCCAGCAAGACTCGACTCGCAATAAGGAGATCTAGCACACTGAGCCACCTTACTTCTATTGTCAACCAGCCCTAAGCGAAAGGTCACCATAGGGATAACCAAAGCGCAATTCCGGAGTCCCTCTGTGCACACCCTCCAAAACTGCGACCGATTAAGCCATGAAGAGTCTGAGAGACAGAACTTTGGTGTTCCATTCGATCCTCGGATTTCCGTCCAACACGGCAACGCTAACACCATAATACTGCCGTGCGGCAAACAGGCGCAAAAATAAATCAATGCCATGTATCAAGAGTTTCGTTCGGAGTAGCATACTACTGCTACAACAAGGTGTAGCCTGTTCGCAAGCCAGACAGCCACCTATCTGCGACCAGCGAGAGCGGGCTGCCGACGAAGCTATCGAACACGGCGTCCATCGCAGTGTCCGAGAGCTCCCTCTTGGCCATGGTCCTCGAAACCGCCTTCACGTCGCCCCCGAAGGCGTCCTTCAGGGCCGGCTGGCCGTCAGGGCCCGCTGGCCACCCTTTGAACTTTGATCGCCGGAGGTTTTCCTGTACAGCAGCAACAGGACCAATGCGTTTGAGTTCGGAATAGAGAACCAGGACATTAGTATACACGTAGGAACCCCCCAAACAGCAATTTTTACTACGGATTGACTGTCGGGATACTGGGGCCTGTTTTTATAGAACAACAAATCCGTCCCAGATGCTACAAGTGCAAACGGGGTCACAAGAACATGAATTGCACCAAAACAGGAAGGTACGGGTCAAGCTTTGTTGGAGGCCATGAAATCTGAACGCGAACGGGTTACACGGCTTGCCCGCCAGCACGAGCACCGCTGACCTTGAAGGTGTTTCGGAACAGGTAGTCGCTCATCACACCGCCTTTCTTGTCCTGCACGTCGTCAAACCTGTTAGAAAATTATGTCAACCAATCATCGGAAGGAATCGAACGGAACAATCAGCAGAGCCAGGGTCGTTTGTGCCAAGAAGAATGTTCCAAACCACGTTCGAGTGTGACGCTTCAGAATGAACACTTGCAGCGCACTCCACGGGTAGATCTTACACAGCCAAAAAAGGTGAATTGCTACAAATGTACACAGGTGTGTTCCATACGACCCGAACAAACGCGTCCGTGGGGTTGGTTCTGACCTAGCGGGGAGGAATCGAATACAAGCTGCGGGCGTTGACTATCGACGAGCAGTATGTCGTAAGCATGGCCAATATACGTTGTCATCGGCAGGGTAAACATCGAGGCCCAACGATATTGCGCTACACGCTGCACCTACGTCTGGAAGCGGCCAACGATGTTGACGATGTCCAGCAGCTTGATGGGGTCCTTGTAGAGCAGTAGGCTCTGGTTAGAGATGGTGGCGTCTTCGCCCTCCTTCACCGTGGACCGCGCCTTGAAGCCAATTACCTCTCCGAGAACGTTCTGCAATATCGGGTTCGAGACACCGACGAGATGATTGGGCTCAATACAGCAGCGCGAACTTGTACTGGGTGCTTCGGTCTAGCGTCCGCTTGATGGTTGCGGTAATCCCATACCATACAGAAGTACTACGGCGTCACGCGAGGAAAAAAAACATGGAAAAAACCAAGGGGGCGCAGCGTCCCCCGAAGCGAGGTCCTTGAACTGTTCGCGTCCAACAGTCCTCTTTTGACCACCGTCGGTGGTATTCTTGGGGGGCAGCACACATCCTTACAGTACGGGCGGGTCCAGCCGACTTGCCTTGGAGGCAATGAAGGTATACGGGATGATGCCGCTCCACACAAACGTCCACCCGATTATGTACGCGCGGAAGTCGGCTTCGGAGCAAGTGGCAAAGTCTTGGCCAGCCAGCATCCTTGCGGACCCTCGTGACGGCGAGGCAGCGCGAACTCGATTCATCTCCGACCGGGTAGTCGAGACAATCGAAGCCTGCGTTCGACGGGAGTAGCGGTTACGGTGGCTTGACGTTCAGCCTTAGCAATGCCTCCCTTTGAGATGTGACGCCGCCAGCATATTTGAGATGGAGAATCCGATTGCCCTCGTGTTGCTTTTGAAGGTTCGATCAGGAGTGTGTGGGTGAAGATGTGGGCAAACCTATAGTGCTCACCTCGGGTTTCAACAAGGTACAGCTGCAAGTGGAATGCAAGGAGAAATAAGGTTCTGACAGACAAGGTTAGGCAGCGCGGTTGGAACGACATCTACGGGTCGTCAAGGAAACCACCATGCGAGCAAGACCTCCTCGCGGTCTGAAGGTGTCTTCCAGTGCGCCGTACACGACGGGGTGCCAAAAATCGGTCCCCAGTGCGCTGGGCGGCAGTAAAACCGGCAAGGCAGTCTTACCACGGGAGCGCCCGAAAGGGCACTGCGGCGGCCGATCGCATGGCGCGAAGCCCCTCCCGAGGCGAAAGCATCCGCGGATCGACGTCCCGCGAGGGCCAGCAGAACGCCAACAAGACTCCTGACAAGACAGATCCAAGTTTGGTGTGAGCATGCCATGCAAGACCTCAGACTGAGGGAATAAGGCGACACAACAAGGATACATCGACACATGTTTGTAGACGCTATTATGCATACCCGAGTCGGCAAGATCCACACATGGTGACCAGAGAGAAGGCAAATTTACAGCGCCAGCCAAAACTCTTGGATTAACATCTCTACATAGTCTAGCAGTTTACGGAGAACACATCAGTTCACAGGGACGAGGATACGACCAGATTAGATTCCCATCCCGGTTGAATGATCTATGGTTTACGACTGCGCTGCCCATTGTAACACGATCGTCAAGTTGGTGTTGGGCTGGGTTGTGTCTTGTGTCCTCGTTGCTTTGCCGAGTGCCCCAGCAGTGCGGGGGGTGAGTCCGCACAGCGGTATCAATAATACGTAATGATCCAATCAACCAGATGAACCTCTCTTGTCTATAAGTTGAAATTCGTTGCACATGATCCAGGAGTAGTCAACCCATGACACGGCGGTGTATGGTGTGCTGCTTTGTCAGCGTAACAGCGTTTGACGGCGGTGTATGGTGTGCTGCTTTGTCAGCATAACAGCGTTTGAATACCCCACTACTGCTGTAAGCACACATGACGGCAACTGACGGCGGAATTGTCGGCATGACGTTGATCGTGCTTTCTGTCATGTTTGAGTATCAGTCGCCGGTAGCTCTATCGGCCTTCAAAGGTCACAACATCCAACAGAACCAGAGACCAATACCGAGGTAGCCACTCACCTTGCCAAAATCATGGTGGATGATACACGCTGCCGCGAGAGATAAGCCTGCCTGTGCTGGCTGGGTCCCTGGGCAAGTCAGGCGCGGAGCTAGGGGCTCCGCGAACTGAAGGCTCGGGGGTAATTGGGCCGCATTTTGCCGGAGTGATCAACACTGCAACGCCGGGCGATCAAGATCATGACCAGTGACCACAGACAGCACTAACTCAGCTGCTCATCGCTGACCTAGAGCTATCAGAGCAATCATGGTTGATGTACGGCAAGACATGGTGAAGCGCGCGGTGGCCTTTCTGCGACATCCCAAAGTCAAAGGCGCGCCGGAAGCGAAGCAAATAGCCTTCCTGAAGGATAAGCAGCTGACGACGGAGGTGAGCAACAACCACGCAAGAAAAGAATTACCTGCCACGACTGCTGTGTACCGCGAATACCGTCTACGAGTCCCTGCTGGCGATGATCACAACTGTTGGTTCGTGTTTCCTCCGTGAAAGATGTGCAACATGCCATTGCCAACAAACAACTTGCCTGGTATGTCCTCGCCTGTTTGCGCCGCAAGTTGACATTGTCTACGCATTCTTCGATGGCTGCAAGCTACGTAGGAATGACCGGGCATACAGCAGTATTGGCGTCCAATCAACACTTAATGATTGATCATCGATCGATCTTTAGTCGCACAACAGCACTGGCTGAGTGGTTCAGCTGGTAACCTCCTAACTCCCGACCTTCTGGCGTTTGGGACGTGGGTTCGATGTTCGGCGCAGTCACACGGACTGGAATTTTTGCTACAACACTTACGCTCACTATCAATGCATATAATGAGTGAGAGGAGAGAGATATTGTAGGTCGTTAGACTTGTCTACCATTCCGTGTGTGTGATGGGGGATGTGGATGACAGGTGTACAGCGTGACCAGATACATAGTCTAGTGTCGCCCCCATTAATGCAATTTAGTTCCTCGCCCTGAGACGTACCCAAAATTCTCTACCGTTACATCTTGGTCTTTGCCCGATTGATCGTTGGTTTTCTTGCTCTCCTGTTCCAGCTGTCGGTTGCGAGCGTTTGCTTGCCTGCACATGGCCAACGCTCCAACTAAGTATATAAAGCTAGCATGGCAGTTTTTTCGTTTTCATTTTCTTGTTCACTTCAAACCAGCGCTCACAGCACTTGTACCGTTTACTTCAACCAGTGGTCACACGGAAGGGTTCCTCTCCCTGAGGCCACCTACCCGCCCCTCCTGTGGCACTTTGCCTTCGATTTTTCAATGCAGTATGCGAAACGTTGAACGTGCTGTGACAGCAGAAACCGCGTTGAACACTCATATCGCCAAGTTACAGTAGCCGCTTCCCCCTTCAATGTGCTCCTCCTCTATCAAAGGAAATTGGCGAGGCCCTGAGAAAAGCCGCAGAGCTAGCAGCTGCGGAAGCATCGGCGAAGACCCGGGCCGCCCTAGTGGCTGCTCCGACGAAAAGATTCCGGAAAGGCTCAGTCCGGAGCGAGGCTGTCGTGTCAGGCGGTATAGTTTTCATCAGCGGACAGACAGCGTTACCGTTACCGACCGCGGTTGACGATAGCGGGGAGGGGGACGTGGGTGTTGCCGAATCTTTGAGCCCTGAGCAGCAGGCGGCGAGAGCCTTGGATAAGGTTAAGGAGCTGCTTGAAGAGGTGGGATCGAGCACTTCCAAGGTGTTGTCAGCGCTCGTCTGCGTCCGAGATTTAGAGCAAGACTTGCCCGGGGTTGAGAAGGCGTGGGGCCGCTGGATCGACAAGGACAACCCGCCCGCGCGAACGGTCACACAGACGGGAGCAATCGTAGGTGGCGGTGTTGGCGGCACCAACCCGCCTCGAGGGGGCGAGGGTATCGATATTCGAGTTAGCGTTTCGGTCACGGCGCATTTATGACCCTGCCAAAGGATGGCGGGGAAATATGTTTTCGGATGGAATTTTTATCGAGTGTTTGTGTTGTGCGGTAGTTTCGTTTTGGGTTCCGACAAAAAGGTAGCGACAAGTCTGATAAGTTGAACTCTCGGTCGCTTTTCAAAGAACGTTTTCCATCCGCCCGGTTGGACGAAAACGGAACACCAGAGATGTGCAGTGTTGTTGGTACCGGTTTGAGCGTCTCCGCCTTCCTGTGCCTCTTGGCATGGCTAGGCGCGGAGGCACCCGTAGCACCGAAATGCTTATGAAGAGGGGGCCCACCAGCAGCTTCGCACAACGAAAAATACTTTGGGTGGGTTCAACCTAGTTTGGCCTTGAATGAAGCGTTCTCGTTTACAATCGTTTTCGATACCGGCGACACACGTGGGCAAATCGTTGATATAGTGTTTCCGTAACACCCATCGTAACACGTGGCAACAAATAACGCGGTGCTGTGTTCTATCATAGATACCTAGCGGTTACAAACAAATCTATCTCGTAACTATTGTGTAGGATTGCATAACAAAAGAGATTTTGATATAGCGCCGCTTCTTTCGACGTCCTAGCTTGAACACACGCTTGAGCAAGAACGGCCGCCTCCCCTACAAGGTTAGCGCTGTGAAGACAAAATCGCCCCAGCGAAGCAACGTTCGGGCGCTAGCAACGTTAGGCGGCAGCAATAATTGCTCGCGACAGCACTTCACCCCAACACACATTTCTAATTGAATCGCGTCTTCGCGTCCGATCGTACAGTACTTTCATGCCGCTCTCACGACAAGCACAAAGTAGTGTGAAAATCCCCTATCATACAACTCCCGTTACTTGTTCTGCGTGACGGTATAGGTGCATTGCTCGTAAGACATGCAGCACTCATCCTGGCAAGCCTGCAGGCACTCTTCTCGGTCCCTCTCCGGCCCATACGTAGGCTTTTGGCAATCGGCCAGGCAGTTGCTCAAACACCGGAGGTACTTGGATTCCTTACGGGTCCCCGTTTTATCCTGCGTTTCGCGAGCGTGTGGGGGTGTTTCAACGACTGTGGTCAGAAGTGGACCGAGAGGGAATCAGCCATTGCTGGGGGCTCGAGAATCGGTAGAGAAAAGGCGAGGTTCCATTTGGTTACCATTGAACGTGCGCCTCTTGAGATCCAATAAACATGGCTAGAACAATCTACTCTACGCCATTTTTCAACGGATGAGCTTCCAACTCACATCTGATCCCTTCGGCTGCGCTCCTTTCCCAGAAATCCACTCCTTCTGGGCGGCCTGCAACGAAGCAAAAAGCGCATGTTCAACACCTCATGTGGACGTCAACGTGCAACCGAGACTGGCGGACTTCCACATCGAAGCTTCAAATAAATACCCTCGCAGATAAACGAGATGCCACTACAAATTGTACATCACACCCACCGTCATATTTTCGTCGTAAACACGCGCTGACCGGTGGGCGTGTAAGAAAATGTTGCCTCTTCTTGGAGTTGGACACATGCGTCGTAGGCCGGAGGGAAGTGTCATATCTGAACTACGTATGTACACGGTTGTTCTTCTATACTTGAACGATAAAAATGTCCGCAAGCAAGTGGAGCTCACATCTGCGCTCCCCTTTGCTGCTCGGGCTTCCTCTGGGAAAGCCAAACCGCCTCCCGCCCCTACCGCAACCGCCCCCGCGGCCGGCAGCAACGAAATTGCGGCCGTCATCTTCTGCAGCACTTGCAGCCGAGTCGTCATCGGTTCCACAACCGACGTTAATTCGGGCCCGTCTTCTCTGCTGCTGCCTAGTAATGTTGTTCCCGTTCTCACTCCTGCCGCCGACCCATGTGGGGTTTTCCTCGGTGGTTTCAATGTCCCGACGCTTGTGTATGCAAACAGCTCGCTTGCTTCTGTAGCGGAGGGGGGGAGAGACCGAGCGGGAAACTTGGGTGGTGGGTTAATTGCATCCGGTCGCGTTGGCAGTTGCCGCATTTTCCCCTCCTCACACCTACAACGCGCCCTGCCCCCTCTTTACGAGGGTAACTGCGGAGATGTTGATCGTGGTACACATGCAGAGACGTACATACACATGCAGTTAGGTCGCTTCGACTTCGCACGACTTTTCCATGTTGGAATTCGCATGATGTGTCTGCCCAGACCGATGCATACGATATCCTGGACACCAAGAGATCGCCCTGAAAGCAATGCGAGACGCCGAGAAGCACTTCACGTGGCGTAAGTTGATGTTTTCCCTTATCGTGGCCGTCGATACGAGAAGTTCAACGTGCAAGGGCTCGACAGAAAACCTACTTCAGGAAACGAAAGGGTGGTAAATGCTCCGCATAGCAGTACGCATGCATGACACCCGCGGCGTGCGGCACTTTTCCGCATGCATCCATGCGTGTACTTTCGAACCTTGGACAAAAAGTAGACACACCAGCAGCATACGCGCTCCAGGTCCACTTATGGTCTTCATCGAGAGTTGAGGCCTGCGATAGGGGAGAGTGCTCCGGATATGCGTGTCATTGCAGCATGCGGAGCCACTGCAACGAAGGTACGTACTCAAGATACCTCTCATGTGAGCAACTCGGCCTGAATCCGCGGAGCCCCGGGTACTCGCGGTTGACGTGTCATCACTCACAGCAGTGCTGTGCTCTCCCTCTCTTGGTACCAGCAATATACTAGGCTTCTACACGGATACCGACCCCTGTCGCGTTGACGGCCTCCAGAGCACCGTGGTCATTGGCCTGCCGCAAAGACGGGATGGCTTCTGTAGCTCGTTTCTTGCAGGCGGTGGCTTTGTGGCTGTGCCTCTGCGCCGGCCGAGCGTTCGTTGCGCTACCAACAGCAGCACCTCGTAGGGTCGCGAGACGAGCGGCGACGGGCGATGCAGCACGGAGTCAACAGCCCGTGGGTGAGTCTAGGGGTAGTAGCCCCTCCGAATTATAGCTTGGGAACAACAGCCTGCCACGAGCGTATGCTGCTGTGGCCGTTGTTGTTGTTGCTGTACGAGCAAAGTTAGATGCATCATGTCATTGAAGTGCACGTGGCGACATGCTGATGCAATCTGGTGATTGGTCGATCCTGGAGACACGTACACAAAGATAGTGTTGTAGTAGTTCAGTCAATCATCCGAGCGATGTGGGCCGAAGAGATGAGGGGTAACGCGTGCTCACCACAATGCTGGTGTGGTGCTCCGCTTTTGCGCGGGAAAATGGCTGAATACTTCAGCGAATGAGTGTTGATTGCGGACGAAGTTGGTCGGCGCATGCTGCCGCGGCGGGTCCAGACAACGTTTTGGTGCTCCCACGACGGCACTCAACGGCAAGCGCACCCTTCCGTATTTACAGCAGTACCGGGCTGCACTGCTCGCAATGGCGAGTTGCGCGGTTTTCTTATCGCTACTCGGTGCTAACCATGTCGGCGTGCTTTTCATGAACGTGGCTGCTGTATCCAGGGAGAGGTATCTACTGCTGTACAGAGATTCTGCATGCAGGCAAATCCAGTCTACTTTTCAGCAGAACGCTGGTTCCTTCTTCGCGTACAGCAGTACTGCTGTAGATGCAACGCACACGAGCAGCGTCAATATTCTGCAACCCAGTGTAACATATCGCTGTTGAAAACCCTCAGGCCATGCAGCGTTAGTGGGCTGGTGCCGTCTGTCGCTTCGTTGTCTTATTTCTCTTTGAGGACGGCAGTATGAGGCGGAGAGACGCACCCCCCGCAAACCAACTTTCACAGCTCGATGGCTTAACCAAGCGGGTGCGGAAAGAGCCACAAATATGTACCACGTCTACGCGAAGCCCTCGACGAGGTGTTTGCAAAACCACCATTTTTGGTGTTGGCACAAGCAATCTTGGTTGTGGAACATTCAAGCTTTGAAAAGCAGTCTAAGGGGTGGTGCCATCTCTCCGTCTGTTGCGGTATGAACCCAAACAGTATGTGGCATACATAGGTTGCGTAAGATACCACACCCCCAGGGCCGATTGTCAAAGCTAGATTACTCCACCACGCAAGAGGATGCCGAAAGTTCAGGATGAGACGGTCCCAACTCCGCCTTTTTGGGCAACGGCCAGATACAAAATCGAGCGGCGTGTTTCTATGTTCCTGCGTTGAAGCACCTTGGTGTCGTCGTCTTATCGTCATCATGCAAACGCTGTACGGCATGGACGTGGGCTCTATTTGCGACGTTGTTGCGGTCCCCGAAAAACTCACTGAATGGCCTGTTTTCTCATGAAGCACCCGCGCCTCCCTCCGCGACAGCGGGCTCAGTTGCCATCCTGTCCGATATGTTGCCTGCTCACCGATACCGACACCAACCCTGGAACGGCAGTCGCTCTGTTGGGAGCCTACGAACTGCTATCCCCTTCGACTGCTCTGTTTATATCTCGAACCAGCAGTCTTTTTCCGTGCTCGTTTGTATATTTTCTGAACAATACTTCCTTCATGTCGTGATTACGTGCATTTTGTCAAGGCAACTTCCTTCGTCATAAAAAAAAAATCACCAAGGGAGACTTGATAACCCCCCTCCCTCGTGGAACTCCAGGCTGTTGCGGGTTGACACAGCAGAGGGTTTCCCAGCGCTCTGGATGGCTTAGCATGTCGTCGGCGACGGATCAGGACGTGTCTACGGGGGGGGGGACGGGAACAGGAGTGCAGACGATCGTGAAGGAGAAGGTCAAGGAGATGGTGGAGGTGAGAGAGCATCCATCACACAGGCGCCACCGGGCGTCCCTCTTGTAGGATGATGTGTTTTGTCTGTTGGTGCTGTTGCCACGGTGTTTGTTGGGGGTGTTGGCAGTAGCTGTAACGTTGCCACAGGTCTGGTGCTGGCCATGGGACGGCGTTTGCACCAGCGTCATTTTCGGTTCTTTCCCACGGGGTACAAGTCCTACGCCGCATGACAAATGTTGCTTTAGTTTGAACGCCCCCGTAAGTTTCTCTGCAAATGCTGACGGCAGCAGCAATCCAATTTTCACATATATGGTAGTGGCCGGTATGCCTGCGATGATCATGGTAACACCGCTGCATGCTGCTGTAAAATCCCAGCGATGGCGCCAGCGGAGGAAACGTATCTCGACCAACTAAGGGCCTTCAAACATCATGATCACTGTATAGGGCGAATGATGCTCCGAGAGGTGTCGTTGGCGTCATGTTTCAATGCAACAAGTACGCTTTGGGCAACAGGTCGCGTACCGGTGTCCCTTGTTCAAATGATCGAAATGAGAAATTAATCTACGGTTGTGAACGTCCTCAAAGGTTTGGGGAAATCTACAGCTGTTTACGTGCTGTAAACACAGAAACATTGTTCGAAAGCATGCCTGAAAGGTTTGGTTTGGTAGTCAAAACCTTCATTGAGGTTTGTGCTACATAAACGGTGCAAATGTGCGAAACCTCATGCGACTTCTTTGACTCGCTGGTACTGCTGTAGACCCTCAGGTTTTGGAATGAAAGCCAATAGTAGGGACCTAGGCAAACCTCGGAGTAGTCTGTCGGCGCTCACCCTGAACTAGCCTGAACGGATCGAGGATAGCCGTCCAGCCTATCAACACGCTGGCTGCATCAGCCTCACCGTTGGCTTTTCGCTCGTGATGTTCTCGGAGCCAGCTATCACCCATGCCCCCTACGCCCCATCAAAACCCCCCTTGAGAGAATAAGTGCACCTATGTTTCCCACTATTTGACGGCTGGAAGGAATAGTTCCGCGGTGTGTGGAGTGTTGTTCTTGGCAGGACCGCACCCAGTTGTTTACATGTCACCGCTGCGCATGCCGTTTCTAAGACCGGGCAAGCCGATCGTTTTAAAACCGGGCTATGCTTCCCAGAGGGTGCTAGCTCCCGATAGAGCGCCCGTAGAAAGGTGTCCTCAGAGTGTTCCAAAAGATGTGCCGCTGGAGCGCGTAGAGCATACATCACCCGTTCTTTTGGAAGTCAGCGGTGTCTGGGTGAAGTAGGTTTGTCAGAGGCCGAAAGAGAAAGAAAGTTGACCCACAAGACCTTGCATCATTCACGATTGGCAAGGCATGAGGGAGGCGAGACGGGCCCATGTCCATCATACCCATATTATTATCCACGTTACCCCCCCGGAGGCCCTGTAGATCTGCCGAGCTACCCCAAACAAGCGGAGGCGGGCGGAGTAGAAGAACTACGTCCTCTCTCTACGACAACATACGGTCCCATTTGGGGTGAGGGGTACATCAACAACCTCGAGGGATTGTTTCCGTGCCGTTTTGAAGCGAGCCTTTCCCCCGTCCCCTGTGGTGTTCGGGCGCAGGTGGACAACAAGGAGGAGCTGGACAAGGAGCAGTGGTGGCGAGTAATCCTCCACAACGACGAGATTCACACGTTCGATTACGTCACGCAGTCTATCACCAAGGTGGGGTGGGGTGCTGGTGCTCTTGGTGCTGGTGCTGAGATGGCGACGATGTGGAATTGACGGCGTGGTTACATTTGGAGAAAGCAAACATGCGGTGGTTACATTTGTCAAGTTGTTCTTTCTTGCGTGGGTGTTGGTTTGGTGGTCGAAGCGAGGGAGTAGCGAGTACACGGTGTTCGCGCTAAAGTACACGTTTCTAGTCGGGTAACGGTAAAATAAACTTGGGGGGGCGGGGGCATCGATATTTCTCCACTTTCACACGTGACTCCAACTTGACAGCAGTTTCATGATTGTAACCCTCGTGGCTCCATGCCTGTCACCGATGCTGCTGTCATTACAACTGCCGCTGCTAAAAGTACCACGACTTCCTAAGTAGCGATACCATTCTGCTGCTCTCCCCCTGTGCAACAAATAGCACCACCATGTGTGGGAAGATTTCAACGCTGTTCTAAGGGCTCTCAGGCGTATTCGTGCGCATGCTCGTAGGGAGAGCTCTCACGACCCACTCGGCAATAAGAGTATGTTAACAAGTGAGCCGATCATGTGAATCCATCACAACAAATGAGCCAATCATATGAGTCCATCACAGCGAGTGAGCCAAGCATATGGACGCCCGTGTGCGGGTGCGTCCCTGTACGTGCATGCAGGTGGTGAAGAAGCTGACGATGAAAAAAGCCTACGAGGTCACGATGGAGACCCACAAGTCAGGGAAGGCGACGGTGACGCAGGCGTGGAAGAGCAAGGTGCGTTAAACTCAGTGTACTTTTTTTTTGTTTCGTTTTCTGCCCTGCTAGGCAAGACCTTCCATGCATGCCGGATGTCTCACGGAAAAGTTGCGGCTGTTGTCTAGAAAGCTCAAGCGTTGGGCTGGTCATCATTGTTGTGGTCATCGTTGTTGTGGGCTCTTTTTTAAAGGGGTGGGACCAGATGGTCTCGGTCTCCCTGAGAAGAGACAGGGATCAGGAGGACAACGGAGACATGCGACGCAGGTGTCGCCCGCCTCGACTTTGGCGGCAGCAAGCTTTTGTCGAGTCTCCGTTTTCAAGGCCACTCTTTCGGGCCTCGGAAGAAGCGAGCCCATCCTTGATGGTCTCTCCCTGTTGACGAAAAGGGGCAGTTGTCTTGATGTTGCCATCTTTTCTCTTGTGCGACATAAATGACATGTTGAGCTGTGCATTGAATGAAGCGACACCGATGGTAAACGTTAATGTTGGCTCGTTTCCGTAGACGACGTTGTTGCAAGGATGCCTGTTGAGCTGTGAATCTAAGCTACACCGATGATAGACGTTGGCTCGTTTCCGTAGACGACGTTGTTGCAAGGGCGCCAAGGCTGTGGCACGCCTTAAAAGAGGCCCGCTACCGACGGGCAGGCAGGGTTTGTTTGCCTGTGCTAGAAATCTGCCAAGTGCCACTTCGAAGGTGCCGACATCCGGGAGGTCCTCCTTTTTTATGTTCGGATGGCGTCATATTCCGTGCGCTCTCCTTTCGGATATTTTCATCCCACGCCCATAGACTAACTTTACCCCCGTACTTTTCCTTTTCGGGCCCCCCGACATCACTCGTGCCACTACACGGAACACGGGATTTTCTCCACGGCGTGGAAACGGACACCTGGATCGATCGATCGATCGAACTGACAAACGACAAACTAACCAAACAGTCGGAGAGCTACTGCTTGCAGTTACAACAATGTGGGCTGACGGCGTCCATCGCCCCCGACAGCAAGTTCGAAGGGGGCGGCGAAGGCGAAGAGGGCGGCGAGTAGCCATCTCATACTACTACTAGCGCGTGTGGCACGCACGAGACAGAGACAACGACAAAGACAAGGGTGCAGAAATACGGCAGGGCGGCCGGGGTAGGTGGGGGGGCTCTACCATGTCCGTACGTCCATGGCGGCGGGTGAATTTTTTATTGGCTTTAGAAATGCCTTGCAAATTTCTAGCATAGTTGGGCGGAAAGGTTTTGAGTTTTCCTCTCGACTAGCGATTTGACCACATTTTGGGAGGCAGATGGAGAGTACTGGAGGGCTTGAACAGTACCATATCAGGCGTGTTCCTGCTGCTCCGAGGGTTGGACCTCAAGTTGCCGTGTGAGCGTTGTTTTTGCTGACGCCGCACGTGTTCGGTCCACGCACCCAATTTCTTCTCACACCAGGAAGCCAGAAGTCCCACTATTTAGCTATTTAGTCGACAGCTGCGGTGTCGCGTTAAGATGGGTGTCTTTTTTAGTTTCCCTGTCCCCACGTCTTTCGGTGTAGGCCCAGTTTCCACCCCCTGCACCTGCGCCTGCTGCGGTTTGTTTTCCCCTCCGCGTGGGGTGCCCAGGGGTTGGCCGGTGGGGGTTGCCGAAACTAGACACGCCTGCCTGTTGCAATTGATTTTTTTGACACTTATCATGCGCTCTTACTGAAGTTGCACAACGTGTTGTTGCACAACCGAGGACGAAACGCACGAATGACCGTATAATTGAGTTCTTGAGGATTGTGAACCCGCGCATGCCGACCCCTCGAGAAAGTCGCATGGATGGGTTGAACAACAAACTCTTGTTGGTACAGCGGTAGCACGACTGACTAGGGAACTTTGAATATTTGTGCCGAAAGATGTTTATCTCCGTAGACCAAAAAAAAAGCGCATCCCTCTCGACTGGGTTTATATCTCAAACGGGTAGTCTATGAGATTATGCTTTCTCTGTAAGATTATGTTACTTTCTAAAGTTTCTAAAAGAAACGCCAGTCTGGCGTCAGCGACTCCAACGAACCCCCCTCGAAGATACTGGGCATGAAAGACATGAGCGCCCCCCCCTCGCCCCCCCTCGAGTTGCTGGGCTATAACAGCACGACAACGGCTGTTGTATGCTGTGACTGGCGTATGAGACGGAGGCTTGGGTAGAGAAACACAGAGTGATCCACACACAGGCGCCCAAGCTGTGTTCACCTGACGGTTACAGACTTGGAAACACGCCTTCACAATGCCGGGGATAAAACCCACACAGCAGAATAGAGTCGTTCATGCACAACACAAATAAATACCCCAACATGTCCTCTCAAGAACTACGGCATTCTCGTTCTGATACACAAGACAACTTCTCTCTCGATGTCCTCTCGAGTCAACAATCTTCACGAGTACTTGCATACATACAACATCAAAATATTTTCTTTTATAGCTGCCATACATTTCCTTCAAGCAGCGATTTTTTTTCCTTCAATACACATCTCCTGAGCTTCGTTTCCAACACAAATTATTCTCCTAGGAGCATCATGCGGTTCTTGATGAACTTCACAGTACCCAAACTCTTTGTAAACATGTCAGCTTTCTGCATTGCTGACTTGATCTTCTCGGACTTTACGACTCCATCCTGGATCAGCGACCTGATGTGGTGATACTTGAAATCAATATGCTTGGTCCTGAGCGTGATCTTGGAGCTAAGGCTAGTCAATATAGCCCCGGAGTTATCCTCGTAAAGCACCGTTGCCTCCTTCTGGGCACGAATTATTGTCTCCAGTAGGTGCCGAAAGAGGATAATGAGCTGGCAAGCCTTGGACAACGCCACGTACTCCGCCAGAAGAAGAAGAAGAAGAAGAAGAAGAAGAAGAAGACGAGGCTCCGCTGGTTCCCACAGCCTGTATGTCCTATTTTTAGTGTTGTACCCCACATGATACATCTTCTTGGCCCTAGCTGACAGCTTGGTGTTGCGGAATCGCGCTTCCTCGTGCTTATAGGCTACCGAGCCCCATTCGTGGATGTGCGACATGTCACCGAGCGGTTTCCCCTCCCATACCTCAAGTGGGGCCTTTCCGCCCCGACCCTCCGTAGGTGTGCGATTCTTGAGGTGGATAGCTGTATGGAATGCTTCGCCCCACAGGTGGCCTGGAAGGTACGGTGCTCCCAGGAGTAGCCTGCGCGCCGTTCCGATGATGGTGCCAAATCCACGTTTGGCGATGGCGTTCCCTTGTGGGACGTAGAGAGGGCCATTGTCGACCTTGATCCCCATGGACTCACAACGCTTGGAACCTTCCCTTGAACTCTGCTCCGCCATCGCAGTGCACCTTGCCGATGCATGTCCCCAAAGGATCCGCTTCGTTCTGGATGAGCTCTTGGAGCGACTCTGCCACCCCCTCTTTCGTCTTCAGGAGAAAGCGAAACCTCATGCGAGATAGGTCATCAGTAAACATAACGACACTCTGGCAACCGCCGGACGACTTGACAGGGTGCGGCCCCCACACATCGGTGCTCAGAATCTCAAGCCGAGTCGTGGCACGAGTGCGATTCGACGGGGGGTGGCTTCCTTTCTTGCTGTCGCCAACCGCGCAAACCCCGCAGTTACCTGGTTCGATGTTCCTGTTGAACTTCACTCCGGTTGTTGCTTTGTCCGCCAGCTGCTGCAGAGCACGTGGGTGGCGATGACCCATTCTACGATGCCACATATCAGCGTCGACCTTGGTGCGGTACACCTCGGCGGTGTCAAGATTGACTTCGTCCATGATAACACACAGGCTCTCCCTTCTTCCCCTCGCTCTTCGACAAGCTTTTGCTTAGACATGAGTTGTAGCGAAGGGGTGTACTCATACTCATAGTCGTGCATGCCGTAGTCGTTTGACCATTGACCTCGCATCCCTACAAAGCCGGGACGGAGCACGCCGGGTTCTCACCGGACCAGGCTCTCACATCACCAAGCGCGAAGCGCCGTGAGACATTCGGCGAGTCGCATGAAGGGTGCGCTGCATCCTGCTAAGGGTTTTCGGCATCTTGTGCTTACTTCCTTGCNGGATACCTTTTTCTCGTTACACGTGTGCGTGTTCTTTAGATCCTCAGATGGCTCTAGCACTTTCGTGACCACGGGCTGAGAGTCTTTTGCTAGATTTTGGCATTTAGCAACTGACATACGGTTCAATGTGAAGACAACAACAACAACAACAACAACAACAACAACAACAACATGATGACGTTCACGACGTACATCCGTCGCACCGCCGTCGAGATGGGGAAAACATGGTTGCCATGGCGAAGCGCCGGCGGGGTCGACAATAGATCGCACATCACCCCCTTCTCGGCCAAAGCTCCAACCGACAAGATTTTAGCCCCTAGGTTGCGAACCAGCAGAACTTCCACCGGTGCCCGTAAATCGGCGCAAACGATGCGGGTCACGCCCACTCCTTGTCACACACGACAGAGCCACAGCAGTGTTCTTGTCATTCCGAATTCCAAATTTTATCGTGCCTTTCTTGGTTGCATTTGAGGTACCACACGACCCGATGATACGCACGGCGCAGTCCACCGAATCACGAAGATGTTTGGGCAGGCGGGACTCGGTGCATATCATGTGGCTAGAAGCGGCAGAATCGATGGTTACAGTCGTGTCTCCAACAGCGGAGGGATTCACCTGTTCCACATGAAACACGTTGGTGTACGCGACATACTCTGTTCCATCAGACGCCTCCTCCGCCTGAAGGTGAGTCGTTGCCACAAGTACCGCCTGCACCGACACATCACCAGCGGCGCGCTCATCACGCAGCACCGCAGCAGGCACATCCTGCACCTGCACAACTCCAGCTGCGCGCTCCTCTAGCTGCACCGCACCAGGCACCTTCTGCGCCTGCGGGTTGTTGGCGGCGCGCGTTTCCGGCAGCGCCGCAACAGGTGCCTTCTGCACCCGCATGTAGTCATCAGGCTCCGTCTTCACCTGCGTGTCATCTCCGATGAAAATCGCGAAGCCCTCCAGCTGGCTGCTGGGTCCCTCGATCCGCGTCAACCACGCCTGCGTGGTCGACTCCTGCGTGGCATGAGCAGCCTGTTCCTTGGCTTCTTCCGCCTCCTGCGAAAGGCGAAGCGGGCAGTGGTGCCACCCGTGCTCTTTGGAGTTGTGGCAGTACCTGCACAAGTCCTTCGAGTTTTGACCATTGTCCCGGCCCCGTCCTCGACCGTTTCCACCGGAAGCTTGGCTACCGCGACCATTGCCGCGTCCGCCTTGCGCATTTCCCGCGCTGTCTCCGTGTGTCGAGGCACCTCCGTTGTTCCCGTTCGCCGAACCGCCGCCCGTCGAACCGTTCGTAGTTTGGCCGCCATTTCCTCGACGACCACGTCCGCCACGTCCAACGCGCCCCCCTTGCTTGCGGAAGGCACGGGCTCCTCCGTGCGTGACAGTGTTCGAAGCCCGACCATGACTGCCTGCCCCATCAACGCGGCCAGGGTCTTTCCCCCGGAATCGCATTGCATGAAAATCAACACACAACATACACAATGTATCCCTTCTGGCTCGATTTCCGGGGAAAAATACATGCGGCTTGCGGCACCCGTTTCGGGGACCCCACCGGATCCGAATTAGAGTCCCTCGCACGACGCGACAGCAAAACCTCCATCTGACGGTGCATGACAAAGAAGGGCGACCATATGCTACGGGAGTTCTGAAGTCCTATGGATTCGGCCTCTGTCAGCGAAATTCACCTTGACTTTCGATTTTTGACCCCAGTTCGGCCGCATCCGTTATTTCACTTGGTTTCTTTGTACTGCCGTACACTGGGGTAGAGTTGGCGACCACCGGTTTCCTGTCTGAAAGCAAGTGGTTTTTTCTTCGGTCGATTTTCTCGAGAATGCAATGACCGATTTTCGAGTGAGGTCGAAGAGGTGGAGTAGATAGCCCTATTAAGCCCCACTTAAACCACCCTGCGCGGAAAACGCTGGTACTCTGTCAACACGTTGAACCAGAGTACAACCGAGGTGGTATTGAACGAAAGCCAAGATCAATACCTGAGAGTAATGTAGAACAAAAAAAAATGAAAACAAAGAAGTTTGTGTGCTAATATTAGACTAGAGTCAGTACAATACATCGTTCCTCGAAGCTGAAAAACGGAAAATACCATCCCCCGCCGATTGTTGTTGTTGTTGTTGACTTCACATTAAACCGTATGCCAGTTGCTAAATGCCAAAATCTAGCAAAGACTCTCAGCCCGTGGTCACGAAAGTGCTAGAGCCATCTGAGGATCTAAAGAACACGCACACGTAGCAAGAAAAAGGTATCCAAGAGCCCGAAGAGGTACTACTACACCTATATATAATCCCTGCAGCACCGTACGCGTGCCCAAAACTGAACTACACGTCCGTCTCACCGTTCGACTACAGCAACATCACCCCCTACCTGTCCCACTCTGTACCAAAACGAATGATTGCCGACTACAGCATACTTGCTGTCTGAAGTGCTGTCTGTACAAAAACACCATGGTAGGCATGGAACAAGAAGCTGGCGGGGCACAAAGCTGCTGTCTGATTAATCCTCACTAATTACACAAATTTCATAATAACTCATGTTGTGGAGGACACCTGTCGGAATATATAACCAACCATTTGTACACATACAAAGTATAGGAAGATATGATTCCTCGGGGTAACTTGCCATCGGGAGAAGTGGCAAGTAAAGCACCGAGGAAATTTGTCTCTTCCGAAGTCCATATGAACAGACTTGCGGGAAAAATGGGAACGTATCCAAAAATGAGAATTGGCGTTTTTC